AAATAAGGAATTCGTTTATTGTAACGCGTTGTGGACAGTCTCAACCAAATTCTTAAAATCTTCAAACTCAACTGCCAAAATTTCATTAAAATATCAACGAGTAGAAGAAAGTGTTTCCGTGAAAGTATCCATAATAGCCTTTAGCGCGACTAATTGCTGGTGAGGAAATTGCGGATTTACTCAAGGATCTACAAGTACATCGAATAATTTATAATTAACAGACCGAATTGTGAGTAGCAAAATTTGTAAACCCAATCCTTCAGAAAATTCCAGGGATAGAAATTTTAGCTACCTAGATTTCTGTAAAATCACGCTCATGTTTTTGTAAACCGAGTAATTATACAAAATATATTTAAATTCAAATTTGATTCTCATTTCAACTCCAAATGTCTTGATTAGAAATTTGTCTCAACTCAAGTCCTATCCCTAAATCAAGCCCTTTTTCCCTTATATTTTAAACAAAGGTAAGAGTATAAAACTTCGCGTCATCCAATAATTATAAAATTCAATAATTTTAGCTTTGATTTTGATGTGACAATTAAAACATGTCCATTCGACGCTAAAATCCTTCTCTGGACATAACAGCTAAAATTTTATGGCGCAGTCGGTAGGAACCGCCTAAGTTTCCAATACTCTTATCTTTTTAATATTCTGAAATTTTTGAAACCCATTCTAGTCAATTTAATTCAATTCAATTCTAATCTATTAAAATTTTAGCTTTGGGAAATCCTTCGTAAATTTCAAATATTAGACTTTTCTTTGCAAAATTCAAATTCTCTTTGAAATAATTATAAGAGAAATTTTGTTTTCTTTTCCCAATTTATTGGAAAAATCACATAGAATCTTAATCCAAATTAACTTAATCTCAAAATTTAAAATTATTCAAATTATCAACTAATTAAATTATCTTCACAAAATGGCGAATCCGTCCTTCGTTAATATCAGTTACTCTGGAGACTCGGGTGACGCTGATCAAACCGTGTCCAGTTACGAAGAATATGTCAAAGCCCGAGACATTGCAAACAGCATTCCCATATTCTCCGGTACAAATGAGCACTGCTCTCTGGACGAATTTGAGTATGCGTTGAGATCAAATCTTGCCTCCATTCCTAAAGCAGACGGAAAGAAAAAAGAATATATTAGACAAATACTCAAACGCCTTTTACCCCCAACAAAATTCGTAGTGGCAAACAAACCCCTCTTTTCAGTAGAAACTATTCTTACTCACCTGATCAAGAAATTTAGAGGTCAATACGACTTAACGTATTATGTGAATAGAATACGCGGGCTGTTGAAAATTAAAAATGAACCCCTGGAATCGTTCTTGGAGCGATTGGCAGCACTGGTCCAGTTCGGTCTGGGTACGATTTCTGGGGAAAATGAAGCTGAAAAACAAGTCCTCGAAAAACACCTCCAGACAGAGGCCATTAAACGGTTTAAAGAATACGCCCCTGCAAGCGTGAAGGAAAGTATTAGGCGCAACAACCTAAGGAAAATCTCAGAGATCCTTACACAACTAGAAACAGACGAATTCCGGGATACAGTCAAAGTACCAGCGTTGGAGATTGCTGATAACGGGCACTACAGGTACATCACGGAGTACCCCTCGATTCCAATCCATTCAGGGAGCTCTCTACCGCCCGAACTGTACGGGGAGCAAATGCCACCTCAGCCGAGATACCAATACCAACAAAATCGGTCGTACAGTCAGTCATATAATCAGTCAAATACCCCGACACCATCGTCAAGCTACGGTCACCGAAACTATTCCGGACAGAGGAGAAATCAGGACCCTTCACGAGATCTAGTCACCGCTCTCCTCAATGAATATCTGCCATCCCACCGGAACAGGCAAGGCGACGGGTACAGACAAACGCCACCTCGACCACCGGGGCCCCCTCCATCTATACCAGGATACACAGCTCATCCTGGTGACCCCCCTTCGTGCAGCTTTAACCCCGTCATCGCCTACGGTCAAACTCCGAACGACGAGGATGAATCCGACTATGAGGAACCAGCGGGAACTGCAGAAAACCCTACCACGGATCAGATTCTAGCCCTCGCTAACATCTTGGCAGCCAACCAACGTCCTCATGCAGCCCCCTTCAAACCTAAACAGAACCTTTCCGATATGGACGAGATCAAAAGTATGCTGCAGCAGACCACAGCCTCACTCCAACAGCTTGTGACGAGTTTGAATAACCTGCAGACTCAGAATCGTCCATCGTCAGACTCCAGACCACTCTCTAGGCCTCCCTCAAGAGAACGAGAAGGGAGAAATACCCTGCGGAGTCCCACGAGAACTCAGCAGAACAGAGCCAGCCCATCCACAGAGGGAACAATTCCAAAGGAGACTTTAAACGAGATTGTTGCTCGCCAATTGAGTGCGATGACGAGCGGCCAAAACCAGCACTCACTCCACACGATGTCGAGCATGCATCCCAGACAGTAAAACCCATACTGTGTAGAGTTACCGGGGGTCCTCAGATCATCTTTCGCGGACCAAATGTTATCTCCCCAGGTGTGAATGCATTAATCGNCAAAGGAGACTTTAAACGAGATTGTTGCTCGCCAATTGAGTGCGATGACGAGCGGCCAAAACCAGCACTCACTCCACACGATGTCGAGCATGCATCCCAGACAGTAAAACCCATACTGTGTAGAGTTACCGGGGGTCCTCAGATCATCTTTCGAGGACCAAATGTCATCTCCCCAGGTGTGAATGCATTAATCGATACCGGAGCTTCCATAAACCTAATATCGTTCCAGTCATTGGTAGAAAACGCCCTCATCGATACCACAGAAACAATCGGAATCGTTGGACTGTCCAATCACGTCTTGAACTCCCTCGGAGTAGCTCGCCTCGCGGTGCATCCTGAAGTTCAAATAAAATTCCACGTGATTCCCCACCAGCCAGGCGGATATGGAACCATCATCGGGGATGAAATGTTGAATGAGTTGAAAGCCCACATCTCCTTCAACACAAACAACATTAGCTTCAACATCGCCCCATTGAAACCTATACATTTTTGCCTCCCCAATTGTCCAACGAGAGGAAAACCTTGCCGAATTGCACTCAGCGGGGGCGGCCCAAGGATAAACCTGAAGGTGAAAAACCTCATCGGAAATCGACATCGATTTCTCATTGACGCCGGAGCCGACATCAACCTTATCGAGAGGAGAGTCATCAAACCCGACGTAAGAATCGAACCTCCTAAGATACCTTATCTACTTGAAGTAACGGAGAATGCATTGCCAACATGCGGTCTAGTTCATCTAAAAATCTTTGGCTCTCTCGTACCATTCCACATCGTAGATCATAAACTACCTGTCGAAGGAAGCGGATTACTTGGGTTAGAATTTTTAATTCAAGAAAAGGTGGACATACGGTATCAGCAAAGGAATATTACCACTCTCAAGAGGCCTAACCTGCCGGTAAATTGGTATAACTACGAGAAATTCGACGTGTCAACCGCCATCCCTCCAAGAGCAAGAATGGCCATCCAAATTCCCATCCAGAATACCGAATTATCGGTCGGATATCTACCACAGAACTCCACAAAACCAGGCGTCTATCTAGACGAGAGTGTGGTCAGCATTAGGGAGGGGAAAGCCTGTCTCTTCGCCATCAACACCACCGAAGAACCAGCTCACCTCCATATACCACCCCAAAAGGTAGAGGAAATCGATGAACTCCTAGAAAGAACCGAAATATTAGGAAAACATCAAGAAACCTTCGCCTGGTGCAATATGGGAATTGCCCCAGAGGAAAATATGGGTCTGTCACCTCGCACATCGCACGTAATAGAAGCCCTACCCGATCAGGAGCTNGAACATCCGATCCTGTACGCATCGAGAGCACTTCGAGATGCTGAAACAAGATATACTTCAGTTGAATTGGACTGCCTAGCAGCTGTCTACGCCTTAAGCCAGTTCAAACCCTATATCTATGGAGTACCCTCCACTATTATTACGAACAGCCCAGCCCTGAATTGGCTCAGAGATTCCAGCAACCCTACTACGAGGCAAGTTAAGTGGAAAACCTACTTGAATGATTTCACATTTGAGGTAGAAATCAAGAAACAGACGAGAAATTAGCTAGCAGACGCCTTTGCAGAAAATCCTCTTCAGGACGAACATGAAGAAATCGTCATGTTCGCAACCTGCATGCCTGCTCTACCAGTACCAAAGTCTAGTGTGAAAACACCGAGGACAGTCACAAAACCTAACCAAAAGGTTAGAATAAATAGTGACCCACAAATTATCCCCATCCCAGCGGCGGGAAGCTCAATTGCCGACAGGCTTCGGGCTAGAAGAGCAACAGAAACAAATAGTGGCACCCGGCAGCCGATCTGCTACAGACTGAACNCATCAGGAAGAGATAAATCGACAAATAGACAACCTGCTGGAACAAGAAATTATCAGGCACTCAGAATCACCATACTACTCACCCCTCTGGATTGTACCAAAGAAAGCCGACTCCACGGGAAAGAAACGATGGAGAATGGTGATCGATTTCCGACATCTGAATCAGAAAATGATCGGAGATTCCTACCCGTTACCCAACATATCGGAAATTCTCTCACAACTAGGCGGAGCTAAGTACTTCAGTGTGTTCGACCTAGCCAGTGGATTCCACCAAATCGCGATGGATGAAATGNCCCCTGTAATCGTGGAGATGCCAGAATCAACTCCAACAGTAATTGAATCCGAGGAACCACCACTACAGGATGAACCATCGATAGTACCTGTCGAAATGGAAGACCAAGGAAAAGAAGATCAACTAAAAATTTCCCTTGCAGGAATCCCAACGGACGAAAAATTGGAGGATGATACATTCATCACAGATCAAAACTCCACCAACGAGAAAACGCCTTCTATTATTGAAGCGGAAACTCGAATAGAGGAAAAGGATGAAGAACCAAATCCCACACCACGTCCACCACTGAACATGGAACGAATGGANTACCTGTCGAAATGGAAGACCAAGGAAAAGAAGATCAACTAGAAATTTCCCTTGAAGGAATCCCAACGGACGAAAAATTGGAGGATGATACATTCATCACAGATCAAAACTCCACCGACGAGGAAACGCCTTCTATCATTGAAGAGGAAACTCGAATAGAGTAAAAGGATGAAGAACCAAATCCCACACCACGTCCACCATTGCACATGGAACGAATGGAACGAAACCTTGGAAAATTCTACGAGTATATGGAGAAAATCTCGGAAAGAGACGAGGAAATATTCCAGGAACCCCTAGAGCCACTGCTAGATCAGCTGTTACCACTCTACAAAATGAGACGAACCAGTCTGGGTCCATAATTCAAAGAGAAATTGAATGAATCCTGTCAGGAATTTGAGAAGAAGATGGCTGAGTTGCAAAACCAGTCCAAACCCCTGATCAACTCAACTGACGAAATCTCGGAATTGACGAATTCCACCGACCAAAATCCCGAAAAAACGGAGAAGGAAGAAATACCCCAATCCAGACATTCTGTGATATCGCAGCCAAAGGTCACACGAGAATCTTTACTGCCAATNACCTCAATCCAGACATTCCGTGATATCGCAGCCAAAGGTCACACGAGAATCCTTACTGCCGACACCGAGGGCTATACAGTCACCTATGGCCGAATCTTCTCCGGAAAAGAAAAATTCTTCAATAGACCTAACCCCAAGAGAACTGTTCCCACGCACCGGAGAAATCCATCAAGCAACGCACTCCCAAGAAGCGGAAATTCCCCAAGCAAACGAAATTACACAACCGTCATCATCGCAGCCATCGGGGGTGTCTTTGAATCCATACCCCAAATTCCTCCCGCCTGACCTTCCCACGAGCGATGAGCACGGTTTCGTACAGACCCAAGGAGAAATATCTCAGAACAAATCAAATGAGGAACCTATGGACGACAAGATCACAATACCACAAAGTGACTATCAGCCTGCGAGCAACATCAAAGAAACTCGAGATGGACTAACATTTACCAGGGGAAACATTGCTCATTTCCTCGCAGCAGATGGAGAGATCAAAAAGCAAAACACCAAGCTTTTAAAAAACCTCAATCTGATAGACCTGGAGGAAATACGTAAGCTCAATGCAAAACTAGGTCAAGTCATCGTCACGAAGTGCGGAAAATTCCGAACATTTACCCTCATTGCGAAGCAATGGCACTTCGAAAAAGTCAACAACCGGATACTAAAACTCTGCCTGAAAAATCTCAAAACCGCCATGGAAAAATACAAAATTACTGAAATAAAAATGGCATCTCAGGGCGACGAAATAGACGACAATATCAGAATACGATACTTCCTGGAGAAAGAATTTCAATTCCATCCAGCTACTGTAACTCTATGTCATGGTGGAATCCGGATGCCTCCAGCAGCCCTAAGACCAGAAATCATTAAGGAATGCCATGCAACTCTCCCCGGAGGACACAAACGGATTGTGAAAACCATCAACCGAGTAAGAGAAAGGTTCTACTGGCCCGGGATGAAGCAGGAAATAGAGAGATTTATCATACTCTGCCGAACCTGTCAACTAGAGAAAATTCGAAGGGTGAAATTCCGACAGCCCATGCTCATCACCGAAACACCCAGCGAATGCTTCGAGAGAATCTCTATCGACACTGTAGGCCCCCTCCCAGCTACACGTATGGGTCACTGCCATATCTTGACGATACAAGATAACTTCTCCAAGCACTGCACCGCTGTACCCCTTAAGGATATCAAGGCTCACACTATCGCTCATGCACTAGCAACCAAGTATGTAGCCCTGTACGGATGCCCCAAGATAATCCTCTCAGATAAAGGGACCAGCTTCCTCAGCAAATTGTTCAATCAACTGGGAAAGGTCCTGAGATTCCACCATATAACGACATCTGGATATAGACCTCAGTCAAATGGAGCCCTTGAGAGAAGTCATCACGTACTAGCCGAATATCTGAAGACCTATACCGACGAATTCACCGACTGGGATGAGCTACTCCCCTTCGCCATGCTATCGTACAATACTACTGTGCATAGCTCAACAAATTTCACACCATTTGAAGTCCTGTATGGAAAAAGGGCAGTTCTCCCCTCCAACGTTACCGACGAAGATGAGCCAATACATACCTACAACGATTACATGGTAGACCTAATTAACAAATTGCAGAAAATTCACCAACTCGCCTTCGACCACCTAGAAAAGGCCAAACTACATTCCAAGGGCCTTTACGACCGAAACGCTAGACCAATAGACCTCAAAATAGGGCAATTCGTCTACGTCGAGAAGGAGCCCAAGAGCGGAAAATTGGATCAGGCCTACACCGGACCCTACGAGATTGTCGACATAACCGAAAAAGGAAACGTATACCTAGAAAGCGAAGACGGACACCACTTCATGAAACACCCAAACAAACTGAAACCCTGCGCAGAATGAGTCAATATCAATAAATTTAGTGATCCACC